GTGGTGTATTTGCATTTTGGCAGCAGAGGAGCTTGAATTTGCAGTGAAATTCAGACGAGAAATCCCGTTCAGGTGCCAGTTATGTTCTGCACACACACACACACGCAAGCATGCACGCACATGCGCATGCTTTTCTAGGAGTTTTGGTCACAGCCAGGGGCGTACAGACAGGACACAGGGCCCAGGGCAGGTGAAGCTGTGCACCTGCCCTGGGTGCCCCCCCCCCCCCCCCCCCCCCCCCCCGTAGGCAGGGGAGGGGGGTCCTGGTTCTGTAGTGAAGGTGGTGCTGAGTTGGAGGCCGCAATGTCCACTTGTGTAAAGGGTGAATGTGTTCAGCGGGTTACTGAGCCTTTTGGTTCAGTTTTTCTTGCATTAAATTTTAAATAATAATAATATATTTATTGTCAAATTGACATTTACTAACATCAAAATGTTGCTGTTGTTTTTTGTCTGTTCTTTTGCTGCATCTGAAGCATATTAAGTGAAACTAATGCCTCACACACCCACTAAAAATGTGAGTGTGTGTGTAGTAGAACGGCTCATTATATTGTTAAATTATTATATATTATATTGAAAATGATCATCCTAATAAGTGACCACAAGATCAACACTGCACAGGACTGCAGAAACACAAGTCATTTCATATATATTTAAAATCAAATCCAGCTGGTTGTTTTTGTACTGCACATTTTTATTTGGCAGTCGTAATTACATTTTTCTCATAATGAAAATGCTGGGCGAAAAATAAATACAGTATAAGTTTAAAACCACGTTTCATGCATGCTAAAATATATATTTTATTAAACTAACAAGCTGTTACTGTCCAATGGAGGAGGTGAGGAAAATGTAGGTTTATTGCAGTTTATGTTTTCAATATAAAACAATAATATTGCACATTGCAAGTTTTCAGCAATATAACACACACACACACACATATATATATACGTGTGTGTGTGTGTGTGTGTGTGTGTGAGACCAAATAAATAAAATAATTATAGTATGATAATGTAAACTGTTAATTGTTTGTATGAAATGGAACCCCCTATTTAAATTACTTGTATATGTTTTTCTCCACGTGTGTTTAAATTTTAACTTTCTTTAGGTAGCCTCAGTAAACAGGTGCAGAACTTGTTTCACATGTTTAACTTGGTTAATGTGAAACCTTCATGTGACGTTTACATTTTTTTTGAAAAGGGTTCAAAATGTGTTTCACATCTGCCACATGTGGAGACATTTAATCGCATGTAATGTGAGGAAGATGTTCATTTTCTGGAAGGGTATGATCTTACACCGTCTTAGCTTTACCGTATTTAGCACAGGTGGTCCATTCAAGGTGGTGGTGGTGGTGGTGGTGGTGGTGGTGGGGTCATTATTGCAGCTTACTGAAGTGTTGAAGGAAAGAACAATGCGGAGCTTTGCACGACCATGGCAAGGTTAAAACTGCCGACCATTAATATTACATTATCATAATTTTAAAAACATTTTCTTAAAGTAAAGAATGTGTAATTTTTTGGAAACGAGACATAATGTGAAAGGATGCAGCATTCCATCTTTTAGGTTCATACGGTTATATTTTATTCTTGCAGGGCAGGCGGTAATACGCTTCTGTAGAATTAAGCTACAGAAATAAGTTTAAAATTCAAATATTGTGTCATAAAACTTGTCTTGAATTGCCAATAGCAACAGTTTCAGGTGTTTTTCTAGCTTTTATACCGAACAGTTCCTATAATTTGATGAAACTTTTCCTTAGAATATAGTGTTTATTTAAAATCTGTCTTAAAAATCTTGATTCTTGTCCTTCAACTAAGAAAACTCTTTCAGTAAAACCTTTACAGAAGTGTGAATCCAGCGGTCACATCATTCTGGCTTGAAAGCTGGATGGAAATGTTTCGCTTGGTTTCTTTGTGTTTCCTATTGCACCTTTTCTTTAATAATAACTGTGTGGAGCTTTAGTAGCCATGGAACTGGAAACCTTCCACTTCTTCCATGTTGTGTCAAACATGTACAGTTTCAATGTCAAAGCATGATTTGATGTGATTGTAGCTTATTTCAAGACTGAAGTTAGGAAATCTTCGCCCAAACTCATTAAATCAACGTTACGGTTTCACCGGGGTTTTCCCTGAAATGGGAAATATTTTGCTCTTTCCATCTTGTGCCTAAACTACTGCCGGCATGTGACGAGTCCCTGACGATAAAAGATTTATAGAACTGGCTGGCTCTAACGATGAGGTCACGTTTGGTGTGACTGTAGCTTGTTTTCAAACTGAAGATGAGGAAGAAGCTCATCCAAACTCATTAACGCGGGACGGTCTTGAAATGTGAAATATGTACTGTACTTATATATCACCTTTCTATCTAATCGAGATACTCAAAGTTCTTTACAATCTGTGCCTCATTCATTCAGCACTCTACTAGATCTATACAAAGAACAATCAGAGCTTTATCACATTCACACACTGATGGGACACATCGGAGGCAATGAGGGGTTCAGTGTCTTGCCCAGGGACACTTCAACATGTGACTGCTGGTGGAATCGAACCCCCGACTCTCCCATTCGAGGGCGACTGCTCTAACCACTGTTGCCCAGGGAAATGTGCAACAGTAAATCCTGCTTCATGTATAAAGTGCAAACTATTTTTAGCCCAGTTGGCTAACGTTGGTACATCATGAAGTCTGAGTTCAGCCACAGATCCAGTATCTGTAAAGTAATTTGTTAAAACGGTCAAACGTCCTCTTATTGTGGTCGCACTATCGAGCACCGCATACTGTATGTAGCTGTTGGTCTGGACTCGTGCCTTCAGCACGGCAGGTGCAGCTCTGAATGGCGCCCTTCACGATGAGCCACGGTGGCGCTCGAACTCGTCGCATAAGAAGCACATTTAGGGTTTCGTGGGTCGACGTGGATGCCTTTGCTCTATCTGCTGCTTGCTTCACTGTTTGAGGCAGCTGAGGCGAATCCTGCTGCCTCCCCCCTCTTTTCTAAATTCTGTAACCACTCTGCTGTTTGCGCCTCTAAATCATCCCGTCTTTCAGTGTGCGGCGCGAGGAGTGTGGCTTGTTTTCCTCCCCTCTTTGTTTTGCTGTGGTGAACCGGCGAGCAGCTGCCGGTGGTGGCGGTGGTGGGGTCTGCGGGGACGCTGGAGCGGGCGTCCTCCCTTTGCCATCCTCTGCCAAGGTGGCATTGTGCGAGCAGAGAGAGGGGTAAAGAGAGGCGGACGTAGAGATGCTGGTTGGGGGGGGGGGGGCATTTGGGGGAGACGGAAGTGACAGTGGCAGCCATAGTAAAGATGGAGGCAGGCTGAGGGCTGTGGTTGCAGGAGACTCGCTTCTTCCCCCGAACTTTACCTTCGTGTCACGGTGGAACTCGTCGATCTGGATCTCGAACAACCCCCACCTGCTACCCCACCACCCTCTCCTCTTTCCTTTTCTGCATGCTCTCCCTGTCACTACCCCCCAACCCCTCCCCCCCCAGCGCTCTCCTCTTTCTCTTTTCCCCTCCCTTCCAGCTCTTGAAGAGAACGCATTGGCTGGGCTGCGGGCGTCTCGTTGCCAAATAGGTGGGCCTTCTCGTGGCGCTGGCAGAGGCTCAAGCGATGGTTAGGGAAAGAACACGGAGAGGACGAGAGACTGCCGGCGAGAACCAGAAACAGAAAGAGAGAGAGTTGGAGAGAAAAGGGGAAAAAAGAAGCAGCCCTCGCCTTTGCCAGCGGTCGTATGCGCTCGTCCAACATTGATTCATTCGGCTCTCTAGTTCTTTTTTTTCCCCTCTGTTCTGCTCTCCCTGGCCCCCCCATCTGTGTGTGTTTCAGTGTGTGTATGTGTGTGTGTTAGCCGGGCCCAGGGATCAAAACAGGGATCAATTACAAAGTGCCAAGGATTTTTTTTTTAAGGTTTAATTTGAATTTTTTTTGCTAAACACAATGGAGGTTTTTTATCGTACCGGCGTTTTATTAATGAGGGATGTCGTTTTCTAACAAAGTTCAGTTCTGTTAATTTATTTTTCTAGTTCTTCAGATTTTTTCTTAATCCTCTGCTGATCTTGGTTGGACAGCAGTAAATTTTTGGCTCTTTTCTTTTGTTTTTCGTTTTAAACTTTGCCCCGCCGTTTTTAGCGAGCAGCCTTTTCGGCTAATTTTTTTTTTTTTTTTACACCGCCCATCCAAGATTTTTTTTTAAATAATTTTTTTTTAAATTTTATCTGCCAATTCTCTTCTCCTTGCCAAACCATCTCCTCTTTACATTTGGGGGTGGGGGAGCGCAGGAGGAAGGGAAAAAAAAAAAACCGGTGCAGGAGATTTTTTTTTTCACTTTAACTGCTGTGCCAAATTTATGATGAGAGTGCAAAATGGTAACTACCAGGCCGTCTGTCTGCCTTTCGCTGTGTGCTTTTCTGTGGTGATTTCTGTCTGCGTTCAGTTTGTTGTGGAAATGTGAGTCCGGTTGGAGCTCCCTCTTTTTTTTTTTTTGCACGGTAGCAGAGTTAGGGAATGCCATGGCTGATCTTTTAGCAGCGCATTTCAACAGCGGTCTAGTGGCGGCAAAGCTTGGCGGCGGCGAGCGGCCGATGTGTGGCAACTCTGGCACAGGAACGCTGTGGCGAGATCTGGGCTTTGTTGCCCAAAGATATGTAGTGAAGGTATTATGGTACCACAGAGTACTTTGTTGTTGTTTTTGTTGAGGACCGGGAGCACAACTTGGCTCAGCTTTTCATTTAAGACGAGTTTTTCCGTGTGCTTGCATGTCTGCATGTTCATTCAAAAACAAATATTGCATAAATATATGACTTTGTTGACATTTTAAATGCAATATTTGACTAATTTAAACACATTTTCTACTTCAAAGTGTTTTTACGATCGACAGCTGTGCTTCATATTTTAATGTGTTTTTATTGTTGCCTCATTTTTAAAAACTGTTTTTAATTTTAATTTCTCTTTCAAATTAAAAGTCGCTTTGTTTATCTTTCAAACGTGATTTTTTTTGTTTTTCTTTCCTTCCGTCAGGATGAATTTCATCCCTTCATTGAAGCCCTCCTCCCCCATGTCCGTGCCTTCTCGTACACCTGGTTCAACCTGCAGGCCCGCAAGCGCAAGTACTTCAAGAAGCACGAGAAGAGGATGAGCAAGGACGAGGAGCGCGCCGTCAAGGACGAGCTGCTGGGCGAGAAGCCCGAGATCAAGCAGAAGTGGGCCTCGCGACTGCTGGCCAAGCTCCGCAAAGACATCCGGCCCGAGTTCCGCGAGGACTTCGTGCTCACCATCACGGGGAAGAAGCCCCCCTGCTGCGTGCTGTCCAACCCCGACCAGAAGGGCAAGATCCGCCGCATCGACTGCCTCCGCCAGGCCGACAAGGTGTGGCGGCTGGACCTGGTCATGGTCATCCTGTTTAAGGGGAGCCCCCTGGAGAGCACGGACGGCGAGCGGCTGGTCAAGTCGCCCCAGTGCTCCAACCACGGCCTGTGCGTCCAGCCGCACCACATCGGGGTCACGGTCAAGGAGCTGGATCTCTACCTTGCCTACTTCGTCCACTCACCAGGTACCGGGGGGAGTCTGTTTCCTTCCTCTTCCTCCTCTTTTATTGTTTTTAACCAACACTGTTTGAATCACACTTTACACCCCCCCCCCCCCCACATAAAGTGAACCTAGTGCCAAAATGTAATGAACCCATTCTGTTCTGTGATAAGGACCAGATCTTAACGTTTAACACAGTGCTATTCAACTGGCGGCCCTCGGGCCACTTCCGGCACGTGAGTTACTTCAGTTCGGCCCACCAATGAGTTCTTTTGGGGGGGGGGGGGGGGGTGTCTGGGTTTGTGTTTAGTTTCTGTTCATTGTATTTATGATTCAATGCAACAAAACAAACCAGTTTAAAGTTAACAGATCATACTTGGTTTATTTACATAATGACAATAACTCTGGATGTCCGGACCCCGAGCTGCTGGCTTTCAGTAACTGTGGCCCCCCTGAGCAGTTTAGTTGAATAGCCCTGATTTAAAGGGACACATTGCGCATCACCCCCCCCTCCAAAAACAAACGAAAGAAAACGTCTCTCTGATCGATGTTTCTATGTGCGTTTAAAGAGATTCTGCGAGTTTGAAAGTCTGGCTTAAAAGCCGTGTTTACTAAGAGATGTGTTTGCACGGGGACATTTGTTCAAGCGTTTGTGTGCAAATTTGCCTAAATCCAAACGTGCATGTTTCTCGGTGCCATCTGTAAACAAAAGCATCTGCAAGCCGGTTTGTGTGCAGGCGCGTGTGTCCGTGCGCACGCAGGAGGCAGTTTGTCATGTGTCTGTAATCCCTACGTGTGAGAGGCTGGTGTGTGTCGGCGGCTGCGCGGTGTGACCGTGTGTGTGTTGGTCTGGAGAGTGCAGTGACAGCTGGCCCAGTCCCAGGTAGGGAGAGCCGGCCTGTCTGCAGCCCCCCCTTCCTGGTCGCCTCAGCCTATCGCCACACACACACACACACACACACACACACACACACACACACACACAC